GGGGGGCTGGAGAGTTGTCAGGGAGGATGCTAATGGGATACTGGGAGTGCTGGGGAGTTGTTAGGAAGGATGCTGGAGGGATACTGGGGATGCTGGAGGAGATGCTGAGCATGCTGGTGGAATACTGGAGAGTTACCAGAGAAGATATTGGTGGTCCTGAGAAGGATACTGGGGAGTTATCAGTGAGGATGCTGGAGGGATACTGGGGAATTAGCAAGGAGAACATTGTGGGAATGCTGGGAGTGCTGGAGAGGATGCTGAGGGGACACTGGGGATGCTGGGGAAGATGCTGAGTGTGCTGGGGGCATACTGGGAAGTTAGCAGAGAAGATGCTGAAGGGATCCACGAGGGGATCCACGAGGGGATCCAGAGGGATGCAGTAGGGATGCAGGGGGGATGCAGGAGGGATACAGAGGGATGCAGGAGGGATGCAGGAGGGGTGCAGGGGGGATGCAGCAGGATCAGGGACTGGGGGGGCTCAGTTGTGTCTCCTCTCCCACAGATCATCTGCCTGGACCTAGCAGAGGAGATGGCTGTGCCCAAACTGGAATCCTTCAACGGGTGAGTGTTGGAGGCTGCTCAGGGGTCCCTGGGGCACTGCTGGGACCTGCTGAGCTCTGTCCCCTCCCAACTCCCATGGCAGGTCCAAGACCAATGCTCTGAACATCTCCCAGAAGATGATTGAGATGTTTGTCAGGACGAAGCACAAGATCGACAAGTGCCACGAGTTCGCGCTGGTGGTGGTGAACAACGATGCCACGTGGGTGAGTGGGGGACAGGGATGGGGACAGGCACAATGCCAGCCCTGTGCCCCCCTCACCTGGCTCCTCACAGCTCTCAGGGTTCACCTCGGACCCCCGTGAGGTTTGCAGTTGCCTTTATGACCTGGAGACTGTTGTCTGCAAGTCGTTCAGTATCCAACCGCCTGTGGGGACTGGGATGGGGGGTGGGACCTTACTGGGGGTCCCTTGGGTGCAAACAGGTCCCTCCAGGCCTGTAGCCTTGTTGGCAGCCCCAGTACAGCCCAGTTGGCTGCAGCATGGAGTGACATCAGTGTTGGAGGATTGAGGAGGGGTCAAACTGAGTTACTGAGCACCCCCCAAGGCAGTGTAACACCAGACCCTCCTCACCCACCAAACACATTTATTGGGGTCTCCTCCTCATTCCCAGCTCTCTGTGCCACCTCCAGAGGTGTGACCTGGGTGCCCTGATGCCAGCCTGGGGTGGGATGTCCCTGGGGGTGGGATGTCCATGGATGTGGGATGTTTCTGGGATGAGCAGGGGGTCCATGTGCCAGGATTAGTCCTTACCTGGGGTGCAGATCTGGAAGGACTCTTCAACCTGATGTGAGTATGAGGGTGCTGGGGTGGCCAGGGGGTGCTGAAGGGAATCAGGGGGTGCTG